GCACGAGGTCCAGAGAACCTGGGTGACAAGGCAGAGCGCCCGGCCCATCCCTGGCATCACAGGCCCGGCTTTCAGCCCGCAGGTGGGCCACACACACTCCTCCCCGAGGGGAGACAGAGAGCCCTTCAGCCCTGCCTTGGCGCTCTCCGCAGCCCCTCAGACTCCCTCAGAGGGACTCTCCCAGCCTCACCGCTGCCTACCAAGGATCTGGTTAGAAACAGGATCTGTCACCCCTGGGGCCAAACCCCGAAAGGTCCTGGAGGAGAAGCCCAGCTTCACCCCAGAGTGGAACCCCTCCTCCCCCCGCTGGCTGGCAGATCTCCCCGCCTCCTCACCCTCCCCGCTCCTGTCCCACATCCTGCCCGCTCTCTCTTGGTTTTTCTTCCTCCATCTCCTACCTCAGGCCTCCGTCTGGATTCCTGAATTCAGTCTTTGGGAGGGGAGGGGTCTTATTTTTTAAGCTCACTTTTCATACCTTTCTCAGGCTTTCTGGGTCTCTCGACTTCATTCCCCTTTTACATTCCCATGGCTACATTATTATATTGGTGAATGAATGATGAATGAATGAATGTATGGGTTCCCACTTTTCTCCCCGCCCACCTCTCACCTCCTGCTCCATCTCAGCATCACTAGCTGAATCTCCCTCACATCCACTGGTCCAGGTCTCCCACCACCCCACCCTTGACTTCAGGACCAGGCATTCCCCACCAGCCATCCTGCCCAGCAGCTCTGGGCTCCCAAACTTTCTCCCTTATAAAGTCAGGCGGCAGCAGACACCCAGGAATGCTGCTGCTGCCCATGACGCATGCCGGCTGCAGGGCCGCCTGGCTGCCCCCAGGCGACCAGGAATGTGATGGAAGCCGGGCACACAGAAATTGATTGCCCGAGGGTGGGTGGGGTGGGGTGCCCAGGCAGGCAGCGTTCTGACAGGTGGCAAGGCCCGGAGCTGCAGGCTTTCTGCTTCTGTCAAATTGCTTCTCCTCTGAAGCCTCAATTGTCTGTCTGGTAAATGGAAGCCAAGTGCCCTCCTCCAGGCAAGGGCCACAGAGAGCCTTGATATTGTGCAACCATCACCAAGGGCTGGGGGGCAGGTCTGGCTCTCGGGACTGTCCTAGGGCAAGGGTGGTACCCCAGTTATAGCCGGGATGGAAAGGGGAAGAGGGGGCTGAAGACCAAGAGAGGAAGAGAAGTGAATGAGCAGAGGCAGAGACAAGGGGGTCGTGGGACAGAGACACGGAGAGACAGACTTGGCCAACCCCAGGGGTTCCGAGGACCTGGAAGGAGCTGGGCCTGCAGCAGCCCCAGGACTGGAAAGGTAACTTTGCTTGAGCCCCTGCCCCTGGCCAGCCTGGGGGGTGGTTGGGGAGCCTGTGAGAGACTGAGAGGCCAAAATCCTGCTGTCAGGCAGAGGGTTGAATGCCACGATGCAAGTAAGCCTCATGTTTGGGGTCCCCCAGGGACAGGGACCAGGTCCTCACTCATAAACATCCTAGGAGTGGTCCAGGGAGCCAGGAGATGCCAGCGTAACCCATGCTCTGCCAGAAGGTGGCTTGTTGGGGGACCTTGGCCTAGGCTTCACCTCCATGTGTGAGGAAGGGGTGCGGCGGGGATGGAAACAGACTCTTTCTGTGCCCCCAGCCCTCGTCTCAGGAAGAGGGATGGAGGCGCCCGCCCTGGACCCAGACAGCAGCGCCCTGTTCGTGGGCAGGAAGGGCGGGAAGCTGTGGGATGCTCCACCTTCAGCAAACCTCTTGGGCGGATGGGTGCCGGGCGGGAGGGGTGGCAGCCCTCCAGGAATACACTGCCCCTTTCATGGAGCCCAGAGCAGCCAAGTCACGGCAGGCGGGCACCGAGGGGCAGGACAGGCCTGGGCACAATCATTGCTCTGTCCTGGCAGCTCCCAGCCCACACGCGCACACATGCACAAACACACAGCCTTACGCAAACCCAAAACACACTCCCAGCAGCCACCCACACACTGGCACACACAGGCGAGTATACATCTCCGCAGCCCCGGACACCCGCCTGTGTACCTTCTTCCAGGCAGTGAAACCCATACCTGGGGCGCTCGTCCTGCCCCTCCTGCTTGTCCCTTGGGCCCTCTGAGGCATCCTGATCCCCCCCATGCCAAAAGTTTGGAGCTTCCCAAGCAGCCCACACCATTGACCTTCTGCACACTCACCTTTGAGAGCAGACCTCAGGCCAGAAAGGGACTTTCAGGACTAATCCCCACAGACAGGAGTGGGAGAGAGTGGGAAGGGGTGCCCATTTTACAGAATGGTGACACTGAGGCCTGAATTGGGCTCCTTCTGGCCCAGAGGACAGCCCACATAGCTGCTGCAGGCCTAAACTGGTGTTTTGATGAATCATGGGTCTTCTTGACCCAGGAGAGTCAAGGCCAGGCCTCCAGGCTGTAATGAGGCCTCCTCTCTCCCCCTCACTGCCCTGGCATCCCTATCAGGCTGCCGAGCCTGGTGTGGCCCCTGCTGCACTCCTCTCTACTCATCTGTCTTCAACATTTCCAGCACCTGTACATCCCTGCCAGCCTCTTGGCCTTGCTTCCCTCCGAGATTGCCTATTTCCCTCCCTCTTCTCTACATAACCCTCACCTCCCCCAGGAAGCCCTCCAGGACTGATTCCTAGCTCATGCCGTCTTTATCCTGCCTGCCTTCTCCATCTGAAGGCCCTCTCCAGCTGTTCCCCCAGCCCACCAGTCAGGACAGGGACTCTTGGTTCTTACCACTGCCACCCATCAGAGACAATTAGAGAGGCGGCAGAAGGAGACCAGGAGATGGGGGGAATGGCGCTGTCAGAGTTTCCAAAACCCCAGCCAGCAAGGCCTCAGAGGCCTCTGTTGGGGCGAGGGGGCTTCCCGGCCTGTGCGCTGCCGGCTGCACAAGGCAGCCTGTGTGAGCCCTTCCCGCGTGGCCCCACAGGAAACAGCAGGGCCCAACCCCTCAATGGGCCTATTCAGACCCCAGCTCTCTCTGGAAAGTTCCTCTGCTTCCTGACGCCCTCCCGCTCTGGCCTGGAGATCCAGACCAAACAGGCTGCCACTCCCCCGCGCCAGGAGGGCGCTGCAGGCAGGTGGTTCAATGGTTGGAGCCAGCCAGCTGCTTCAGTTCCTGCCTGGTCCCCAGCTGGACTGCGCCCTGGCAGGTTGACACCCACCTTTAGTGAAAGGGAGTGTGGATGGGGGCCTGTGCTCACTCGCACACAGCTGGGAAGCAGAGGGGCCCCCAGCCAGTGCATGTTAGGCCAGTGAAGGTTTAGCAACAGGCTCTCCAGGAGAGAGGGGGCCCTGATCGATGTGTTTTGCCTCTTCCTGTGGTATAAAGAAGCTCTCTAGGCAGCGTCACCTGGCTTACAAAATTCCTGAAAGTGTTACGGTCGTCTCTTGCCAGCCGCTCTGAGCTTTGCCGTGGTGGTGGCTCCATCCTACGGGGGGCCACCTGCCTCCGCTCCTTGCCTGTGGCTGCCCCCATCTTAGTGTGCTGCATTTTGTTCCTCAGAATCTGTGGTCTTGCAGATAAAACACCCCTGTAGGCGCCTGCCAGCTGCCAGTTCCCTGATCTGCCCCTCGCGGATGCTGAGGTGTGCTGGGCCCACCGAGCCGTGTCCGCCTAGATGGCTTTGCAATTTTGCTTTGATTTCTTTAGCTTCCTAGAGAAGGCTCTGGTGTGACCAGCAAGTGCTGGCAAGAGGGGATAAGTAGAAGGGATTTCAGCTCAGCCTGAAGGGGAGATCTTCACCTTTCTTGGGCGTCCCTCCATCTCTACAGGCTGTGTTGACTGCCCTTAGGGCACACGAGTCTGGGACTCCTCCAGTGGCTGATGCAGCTTCCTCAGGTGCAGGTTAGCTGGCTCAGGCCCCCCGGGGAACAGCGCATAGATGGCTGGTATCAGATCATCCCTAATGAGGCCAACAGGCTTGACTGACTCACAGAGAATTTAAGAGAAGCCCAAGGAGGATGAATCATCTTTTTAACCCCCTCCTATCTCCACTTACCCCACCCCAGCCCTGGACATCAAGGGGGCAGAGTCAGTAATATATTTGGCACTAGTCTCCATGAAAGGAATGGACCAGAAATTGTGGCAGCAGGTTAGAGGCCAAGGGAAGCTCATTTGGAGAAACTTCCTGGAGGGGGTGACAACTTAAAAAGAGAAGGTGTCCCAGTGTAGGGCCTACACGGTGACCCTGGGAAACCCCAAATATGACCTCCTGTCGTGGGAGGCCCCATCAGGCCGTCAGCCACTCCCAGGCCTTGCCTTCAGTCTGAGACCCAGGCTTGGAGAACTCAGCTGAACCCTGGCTTCCGGGCCACGGTGGAAATAATGGGGCCGGATCTGACAGCTCACCAGGGACCATTAATATCTAAGCAGCAGGAAGCAATACAGGGTGATGGAGGAAGCTTTGGCCCCTTTTGGGTCTGGCATCACACGTGGTCTCCATCTGGGCTCAGAGCCTTTGCTCTCTGGCGGACTCACCGCCACCAGGGCTCAGCCGTGGCCAGCCAATCCAGGAGCTAAGCCAGATGGGCGCCTCAGAGAAGACTCTGAGCAGGGATCAGTTTGGGTAGCAGTGGTTCTCCTAGAGCTTCATTCCTGGGGGTGTGGCCATCGGGCCAGTTGATTAGGTCAATGATGGTTTCCCTTTGAGCCAGGAAGGAGCCAGACCCAGGATGCGGATTCCTCTAGGGCCCAGGGGAAGAGAGCCAGAGCTGGCAGAAGCCTCTGGCCCCAGAAACCCCCGAGGAAGAGACCTCAGTGCTTGGGATTGCGGGGTCTGACCTCCTTCAGAGCCAGGGTCCGGGCTGGACATGAGGCGAGGCCGTGCCTTCTGGTGCCAGGACCAGCAGAGGCCACAGGGGGCACTGTGGAGAACCGTGGGGGAGCCCCGGCCTGAAGCACCGTCCCTACCGCCCAGCCGTCCACCCTGAGGCACCTTTCCTCTTCCAGGCACAGGGCCGCACTTCATCACAGCTCTCTCTTGTCACACAGCCTCCTTCTTCGGAGAGAACCACCTGGAGGTGCCTGTGGCCACGGCTCTGACCGACATAGACCTACAGCTGGAGTTTTCCACGGCCCAGCCCGAGGCCTTGCTTCTCCTGGCGGCAGGCCCGGCTGACTACCTACTCCTGCAGCTCTACTCCGGACGCCTGCAGGTCAGTGACATCGCCCCGCTGGACTTCTTCTCTAGCTTCCAGTGCACCCCCCACCCACCACCTGTGACCTTGTGCATGTCACTTTCACCTTGAGGCCTCAAGGGCCCCCCGCCCCCATTGTGAGATGGACAAAAGTGTGGGCCCCCTCCGGAACCGGCTCTGCCCTTTTGCTCTCCAGCCACACTTCTCACCAAGACCCCTCGCCGGTCCTCGGTGTTCTGAGCACTCTGACTGCTCTCCATTCTCTGCCATCCCATGGTCTCTTGCTCTTGGCAGGCCTTTGCTCACCACTCTGCCTGATGCAAGCTTCATTCATTCCCTGCACCTGCCTCACTCCAGCCTCTCCTTGAAGTCTCAGCTTTGGCACCCCTTCCTCACCTGGGCGGATTCCCCTCTCCTGGGTCCCAGCACCCCCGTGCATTCCTCTGGCAAAGCCCTGGCCACCCTCTATCAGTACTATGACAGTATCACCACTGTCTGTCGGTGATGGAACAGCCAGGAATGCTACTGCTATTGTTCAGTCGCTAAGTCATGTCCAACTTTTTTGTGACTCCATGGATTGTAGCCTTCCAGGCTCCTCTGTCCATAGGATTCTCCAGGCAAGAATACTGGAGCAGGTAGCCATTTCCTTCTCCAGGGGATCTTCCTGACCCAGGGAACGAACCCGTGTCTCCTACACTGGCAGGCGGATTCTTTACCACTGAGCCACCTGGGAAGCCCCACAGCTTCCTTAATTTTATTTCATCGTTCAAGTCACCACAAGTTTTGTTCGCAAAGAGTCTTCTGCCGTCTCTGGAGGCTTTCCCCTAACCATGAAGAGTTTGAGGACATGCGGTCTTAGTCCACCTTTGGGGGAGCCATCTGTTTCCACACTCCAGTGGGGAGAGGACTCTGGTCCCCTCAGTCCTACCCATGAAGAGTTTGAGGACATGCGATCTTAGTCCACCTTTGGGGGAGCCATCTGTTTCCACACTCCAGTGGGGAGAGGACTCTGGTCCCCAGTCCATCTGATGCCGCCATTGCCTCTCACTGCCACAAGGTGTCACTGTTGAACGTGGCCTGGTACACCCTGGCACTGATGTTCTTTCTTCCTGCCAGGTATATTGATGCCCCACTCCTAGAAAGGGGCTCCATACACGGACTCCCAAGGCCATAAGTTCCTAGTGCTCTGCTCTTTCAGTTTCCATACTCTGCCACCACCCATTCTACCATCTGGCTGTGGGAGCCCTGCACCAGGGCCAGTTCTGGGGTCAATGTCCTAGAGACAGAACCATGTCTCGCTTCTCTCCCCAAGGACCCCCACCTTGGACAAGTCAAAACACAGAGCGTGTGGTCAGGTGCCCCATCCCTGAACAGTGAGCCTGGCTGCCTCCGTGACTCCAAGGTGTTTTGCTCTACTTGGGGGACACAGAAGGGGATTCCCAGGTGCCCGTTATTCCAGGGGAGGAATCTTCTGTATTCCAAGGAGGTTTTTCTGGCACTTCTCACCCAAGGAAAGAAGGGAGACATTCTTTCAGCCTAAATCTCTAGGAAATCATCTTGATTTCCCAGGCTGAATCTCTAGGAAAGCATCTTGCTGCATGACAGGTCTGGGTGGGCAGGGACCACACCTGATTCACATCGGGGTCCCCTGAGCCCTTCTGGGCCTGGTTCAGAAACCACTCTGGGGAGGGTTTGGGAGATGAGTAAAGAGCTGGCAGGAAAGAGAAGGGAGTGGCTTGAGAAGCACTTGTTCTAGGCCCTCTGCTTCGGGGACCCCAAGTGTGGGAAGCCAGTTATGCTTTTACCGCAGAAGTGCTGGATGCAATGTGCTTCCTTCCCCGCTGTGTCTCCTCAGGTCCGACTTCTCCTGGGCCAGGAGGAGGTGAGAGTGCAGACCCCGGCAGAGACGCTGCTGAGCGACTCTGTCCCCCACATCGTGGAGCTGACCGTGTCAGACAGCTGGGCCTTGCTGTCAGTCGACGGGCTCCTGAATGCCTCAGCCCCAGTCCAGAGGGCCCCCCTGGAGGTCCCCTATGGGCTCTTCCTGGGGGGCACGGGGAGCCTTGACCTGCCCTACCTGACGAGAGCCAGCCGACCCCTGCGGGGTTGCCTCCACACAGCCATCCTCAATGGCCGCAGCCTCCTCCGGCCGCTGACGGCGGATGTGCCCGAGGGCTGTGCCGAGGAGTTCTCTGCTGGTGACGACGTGGCCATGGGCTTCTCTGGGCCCTACTCGCTGGCCGCCTTCCCTGCCTGGGGCACTCGGGACGAAGGCACCCTGGAGCTTACACTCACCACACGGAGCCAGAAGGCGCCCCTGGCCTTCCAGGCCGGGGGCCGGCAGGGGGACTTCATCTACGTGGACATATTTGAGGGCCACCTGCGGGCCGTGGTGGAGAAGGGCCAGGGCACTGTACTGCTCCACAACAGCGTGCCTGTGGCCGATGGGCAGCCCCACGAAGTCAGCATCCACGTGGATGCCCACCGGCTGGAAATCTCCGTGGACCAGTACCCCACACGGACTTCCAACCGTGGGGTCCTCAGCTACCTGGAGCCACGAGGTAATCTCCTCCTTGGGGGGCTGGATGCCGAGGCCTCTCGCCACCTCCAGGAGCACCGCCTGGGCCTGGCTGTCAACGTCTCCCTCCTGGGCTGCATGGAGGATCTCAGTGTCAACGGTCAGAGGCAGGGGCTCCGGGAAGCTTTGCTGACCCGCAACATGGCAGCCGGCTGCAGGCTGGAGGAAGATGAGTACGAGGAGGATGCCTACGGCCCATACGAAGCTTTCTCCACCCTGGCGCCCGAGGTGTGGTCGGCCATGGAGCTGCCTGAGCCCTGCGTGCCAGAACCGGGGCTGCCTCTGGTCTTTGCCAATTTCACCCAGCTGCTGACCGTCAGCCCGCTGGTGGTGGCCGAGGGAGGCACAGCCTGGCTGGAGTGGCAGCACGTGCAGCCCACACTAGACCTGAATGAGGCTGAGCTGCGCAAGTCTCAGGTACTGTTCACCGTGAGCCGTGGGGCCCGCCATGGCGAGCTGGAGCTGGACATCCCGGGTGCCCAGGCGCGGAAGATGTTCACCCTCCTGGACGTGGTGAACCGCAAGGCCCGCTTCGTCCATGATGGCTCCGAGGACCTCTCTGACCAGTTGGTGCTCGAGGTGTCAGTGACGACCCGGGGGGCCGTGCCTTCCTGCCTTCGCAGGGGCCAAACATACATCCTGCCCATTCAGGTGAACCCTGTCAATGACCCACCTCGTGTCATCTTCCCACACGGCAGCCTCATGGTGATCCTGGAACACACTCAGAAGCCTCTGGGGCCGGAGGTCTTCCAGGCCTACGACCCAGACTCTGTATGCGAGGGCCTCACCTTCCAGCTCCTCGGAGCCCCCGCCGGCCTACCCGTGGAGCGCCGAGACCAGCCTGGGGAGCCAGCAACCGAGTTCTCCTGCCGGGAGCTGGAGGCAGGCAGCCTGGTCTACATCCATCGCGGTGGGCCCGCCGTGGACCTGACATTCCGGGTCAGCGATGGGCTGCAAGCCAGCCCCCCAGTCACGCTGAAGGTGGTGGCCGTCAGGCCGGCCATTCAGGTCCTCCACAACACGGGGCTGCGCCTGGCCCAGGGCTCCGCTGCACCTGTCTCGCCCGCCAACCTGTCGGTGCAGACCAATGCCGTGGGGCAGGATGTGAGCGTGCTATTCCGAGTCACTGGGGCCCTGCGGTTGGGAGAGCTGCAGAAGCAGGGGGCAGGCGGGGCGGAGGGCACCGAGTGGAGATCTACACAGGCCTTCCACCAGCGGGACGTGGAGCAGGGCCGCATACGGTACCTGAGCACTGACCCCCAGCACCACGCCGAGGACACGGTGGAGAGCGTGGCCCTGGAGGTGCAGGTGGGCCAGGAGGCCCTGAGCAATCTGACCTTCCCAGTGACGGTGCAGAGGGCCACGGTGCGGCTGCTGCGGCTGGAGCCACTGCACACCCAGAACACCCAGCAGGAGGCCCTCACCACAGCCCACCTGGAGGCCGCCCTGGAGGAGGCAGGCCCCCACCCCACCGCTTTCCTCTATGAGGTGGTTCAGGCCCCCAGGAAGGGCAACCTTCAGCTCCATGGCACGCGGCTGTCAGATGGCCAGAGCTTCACCCAGGATGACCTGCGGGCCGGCCGGGTGACTTACGGGGCCACAGCTCGTGACTCAGAGGCAGTCGAGGATGCCTTCCGTTTCCGCGTCACGGCCCAGCCACACTTCTCCCCGCTGTACACCTTCCCCATCTACATCGGCGGTGATCCGGATGCCCCCGTCCTCACCAACGTCCTCCTCTCGGTGCCCGAGGGCGGGGAGGGCGTCCTCTCTGCTGACCACCTCTTCGTCAAGAGTCTCAACAGTGCCAGCTACCTCTACGAGGTGATGGAGCGACCCCGCCATGGCAGGTTGGTGTGGCGGGATGCACAGGACAAAGCTACCATGGTGACATCCTTTACCAACGAGGACCTGCTGCACAGCCGGCTGGTCTACCAGCACGACAACTCGGAGACCACGGAAGATGACATCCCCTTTGTGGCTACCCGCCAGGGCGAGGGCAGCAGTGACATGGCCTGGGAGGAGGTACGGGGTGTCTTCCGTGTGGCCATCCAGCCCGTGAACGACCACGCTCCTGTGCAGACCATCAGCCGCGTCTTCCACGTGGCTCGCGGCGGGCAGCGGCTGCTGACCACAGACGACGTGGCCTTCAGCGACGCCGACTCCGGCTTTGCAGATGCTCAGCTGGTGCTGACCCGCAAGGACCTCCTCTTCGGCAGTATCGTGGCTGTGGACGAGCCCTCTCGGCCCATATACCGCTTTACCCAGGAGGATCTCAGGAACCGGCGGGTCCTGTTTGTGCACTCAGGGGCTGACCGCGGCTGGATCCAGCTGCAGGTGTCCGACGGACAGCACCAGGCCACCGCGTTGCTCGAAGTGCAGGCCTCCGAGCCTTACCTCCGTGTGGCCAATGGCTCCGGCCTGGTGGTCCCTCAAGGAGGCCAGGGTACCATTGACATAGCCGTGCTCCCCCTGGACACCAACCTAGATATCCGCAGTGGAGATGAGGTCCACTACCAGGTCACATCCGGTCCACGCTGGGGGCAGCTGCTCCGGGCTGGCCAGCCAGTCACCAGCTTCACCCAGCAGGACCTGCTGGAGAGAGCCATTCTCTACAGCCACAACGGCAGCCTCAGCCCCCGTGATACCCTCGCCTTTTCTGTGGAGGCAGGGCCTGTGCACACGGAAGCCACCCTGCAAGTGACCATTGCCATCGAGGGGCCAGTGGCCCCCCTGCACCTGGTCCGGCACAAGAAGATCTATGTCTTCCAGGGAGAGGCAGCTGAGATCAGAAGGGACCTACTGGAGGTAAAGGGCTGAGCAGGGGTCTGGGCCGGGTAAACGGGGCCCCTACCCCCAGCAGTCATGCCAGGCATGCTTGCTTGCTTGGTTTGGGATGTAACTGTGGTGGCTTCTGGGCCAGGTGTGTGTATGTGCCTTGGGTGTGTACCTGTGCATCTGCATGTTGTGTGCCTGAGGGTTTCTGGGCATTGTTGTGTATGCACAGCTGCCTGTGGGTTGCATGTTCCTGCACATGTCACATGCACACATGAACACGCTGTGGCCAACATGCAGATTCCTGGGCTCTACCCAGACCACAGAGTCTGATGTGGAGCCTGAGCATCTGCATTCGAATAGGGGTAGGCTGTCTGGAGGGTTTTGATAGGTGCAAACTTTGAGGATTACAGGCCTTAGAGACAGTTTTGGCTTCCCCCACCCCCTGGCCAGCTCCTGTGTCTTCAGTTCCTTTCCTGGACCTCAGACCAGGCCTTGAGGGCTGCTGGCCACCCAGGAACCTCACTGAGCAACCATAGGCCATCCAGTAGGTCCATTGCCTTGCTGTGTGACCTCATACCAGTCGCTTGCCTTCTCTGGGCCTTATTCTCCTACTGGGAATAAGCTGCCAACTTCTGAGCCTCTTGTGGTTATTAAACCTGTCAAGACTTCAGGGCAGATGGTGACTAAACATGTCTGGTGGCTGGAAGTCTTTGCCCAGGAGAAGGTAGCTTTGAAGAGCTAGTCTTTGAAAAGTCTGGGGTTTAACAGCAGAGAGCAGGGGGACAGTCTTCCAGGCAGAGGGGCAGAATCAGACATGTGAGCTTGGGGTGGTGTGTAGCCTGTTATGGCTGGGTCATCAGATGAGGGAGCGCCTTCCTTCCAGGCCCTGGACTGGACTCGGGTCTGCAAGCTCCATAGAGCCCCGTAGTGTAGGAATCCAGGTCGCTCAGAAGGATGGGGCGCCCTCTGGTGGCAGTAGCGTGGCATGACGAGTCAGTGTGTCTGTCCGTGAGTGACGTGTGTGTCTGGGTGCACACATTGGCGTGGGGTAAGACTGTACGTCCGTGTCACTGAACCTGAGGCTGTGTGATTGTATACATTTCCACGAGAGTGTGTGTGTCTCAGAGGCCTCAACAGGCTCCCCCTGTGACCCCTCTGATAACCAGGCAGCCCAGGAGGCAGTGCCGCCGGCGGACATCGTGTTCTCGGTGAAGACCCCGCCGAGCGCGGGCTACCTGGTGATGCTGTCCCACGGCGCCGTGGCAGCCGAGCCTCCCAGCCTGGACCCCGTGCACCGTTTCTCCCAGGAGGCAGTGGATGCGGGCAGGGTCCTGTACCTGCACTCCCGCCCTGAGGTCTGGAGCGACACCTTCTCCCTGGATGTGTCCTCAGGCCTGGGTGCTCCCCTCGAGGGCGTCCGCGTGGAGCTAGAGGTGCTGCCCGCCGCCATCCCCCTGGAGGCACAGAACTTCAGTGTCCCGGAGGGCGGTGCCCGCACCCTGGCCCCGCCCCTGCTCCGCGTCACTGGGCCCTACTTCCCCACGCTGCCGGCCCTCCACCTGCAGCTGCTGGAGCCGCCGCGGCATGGAGCCCTGCAGAGAGAGGAGGGGCCTCAAGACGGGAGCCTCAGCGCCTTTTCCTGGAGAGAGGTACTGTCAGGGAGGCCCAGGGTGCAGCCCAGCTCTGGGGGTCAAGTCTGGGGGTATGCAGGGAGAGGAGGCAGGAGCCCACATTTACAGGGCATCTCATCTCACCCTCCTTCACCGGCAGAGAGAGATGAGTGTCCCCACTTCCTTCATTCTTTCACTCTGGGAGAAATGACGGTCCCCATCGCCGCCCGCAAAAACAAGCTCTGAAGGAGTCAGTCTCCCATGCCCAAAGGCAGGGCATGAAGGGTGCTGGGCCTCAGACCCACCAGGGGGCTCAGGCCTGCTGGGGCCTGACCCCTGGCCCGGGGCCTGCCCACAGGTGGAACAGCAGCTGATCCGCTACGTGCATGATGGGAGCGAGACGCTGGCAGACAGTTTTGTCCTAGTGGCTAACGCCTCAGAGATGGACCGCCAGAGCCACCCCGTGGTCTTCACCATCACCATCCTGCCTGTCAACGACCAGCCCCCCATCCTCACCACAAACACAGGCCTGCAGGTGAGAGCGTTCTAGGACCGCCTCCCACTGTCCCCGTCCCCACCAGAGAGGCCCAGCATGTAGCTCCCCTTCTGTGAGCCTCGGTTTCCCCCTCTGTAAAATGGGGACCCTGCCCCATGATGCCCTAGGTTATTGGGAGGAGAGAAGAGCTACTGCACTGAAAATAGAACACAGGTGTGAGGCTTTGTAATGGGTCACTTACAAGGGCGGCAGACAGCCTTGTGAATGGACATGCTTGATCCCGCTGCTCCCGGGACTCACCCTCATCAGGAAGCTTTTGCTCTTTCTCCGAACCAGGACTCCTGAAGAAAGCTGTTTCTAACCCTTAGGGGTGGACTCCAACTGTTCCCCCTTCCACCCGCGGCAAGTGCAGGCCGCAGCTTGACTCCCCCGTCCCTGACTCTCGCACTACTGCAGGGTAGTGGCGTCCCCATCCAGCAGAGGTGGAGGCTGAGGCCCAGGCAGGTGACAGGACTTCTCCAGGGTCACAGTGGGAGTCACCGATGGGACAGAAAGAGTGTGGCTTGACCAGGGCCACACAGCAGGATAGCAGACGGGCAGGGCCCTGAATGCTGACCTCTAGGGTATAGCCTCTGGCCCAGCAGCAGCTATGGAAGGTTTCAGAAGAGGGCTGATTTGGGCTGTCTGTGACATGAGAATCTTTGGTGTATAGGATGTGCCTGTGGGGAACAGCCCGGTGCCGGGGAGGCCAGCAGAGGGTAGGTTTCAGGCTGAGGGCTGCCCGGAGACCAGTCAGATGGCGCTGTGTGCCATTTCGCCACCAGGTGGTGCTGTCTACCGTGTTTGTGCCAGGAGCCCTGTGCTAAGGCCCTGTCTACATTATGGCCCTCCTTCCAGAGTTCTGGCTGAGGTCAGCCTTGGACTGGGAGAGGGAATCCCAGCGTGCTTGGTTTTCCAGGGAGCCCCTCCCCAGTACTGCTCATAAGTTGCTGACCCAGTTGGACCCTCGGAATGGGATTCTGTCCTGCTAACAGGACGGAGGCTTGTGGGGTCTCCCCTTCACTCAGCGTAGGGAGGGGCTGCCTGCACCCAGGAAGCCTTTACCCACCTGCCTGGGGGCTCGTGATTGCACTGGGAGCACCTGGGCCCTCATCAAGTACTGCAAGACAGTGGCCTGCCACCAGCCTCTCCAGCTCACCACGCCTCCGACCCCCTCCCTCACGTGGAAGGGGAGCCCATTTCTAAGTATCCTGATCCAATTCCCATCCCATGCTCCTGCCCAGACTCACCATGGAGGGTCTGAAAGGAGACCCCTGCCCCGCTGGTGAACCACAGAGGCAGCACTATGGGTCAGGGCTGGGGGGGTCTCTGGTGGTGAAAGCTGGGGGCTTCCTGGGGTAGGGATACATGAGCTGGTCTTGAGGGACAAGCTGGACTAGGGCAGATGGAGAGCAGGGAGCCTGGGTGTGGGAACCTTGGGCCAACAGGGGAAAGTGAATGGGGTGGCGGGCCCCTTTGTGCGGGGGAGCCCTGTATGGCGGTACAGTTGGAGCCTTGACGATGCTCCCAGGCCAGGGAGGAATGAAGTGGGCGGGCTTGGTGGGAGCAGACCCCTCACAGGCCTGTATCCCCAGATGTGGGAGGAGACCACGGTGCCCATCCCAGCGGAGGCACTTAGGGGCACAGACAGCGACTCCGGACCCGAGGACCTGGTCTACACCCTGGAGCGGCCCAGCAATGGACGGGTGGTGCTGAGTACAGCGCCGAGCACCGAGATCCACAGCTTCACCCAGGCCCAGCTCGATGGCGGACTCGTGCTGTTCTCACACAGAGGTAGGTGCCGAGAGGTGGGGGTGCCCCGAGGCTGGGTGCCCGTGTGAGCCGAGGCTCAACTCCCCTCCTGTCCTAGGAGCCCTGGACGGAGGCTTCCGCTTCAGCCTGTCTGATGGCGAGCACAGCTCCGCGGGACACTTCTTCCGGGTGACGGCCCAGAAGCAGCTGCTCCTCTCCCTGGAGGGCAGCCGGACGCTGACCGTCTGCCCAGGTGGGTGAGCCACGCCAGGGCCCTTCCTTCTGCCTCCCCAGCAGCCACGGGTCTGGCCCTGGCTCCCGGTCGGAGGCTGACAGTCCCCCTTGGCCTCTTGCAGGGTCCGTCCAGCCGCTCAGCAGCCAGAGCCTGAGAGCCAGTTCCAGTGCGGGCACTGACCCCCAACACTTGCTCTACCGGGTGTTGGGGGGCCCCCGGTTTGGCCGGCTCTTCCACACCCAGCAGGGCAGCACCGGGGAAGCCCTGGAGAACTTCACTCAGGCAGAGGTAAGGGCCGCTCTCTTCAGCCACTCGAGGCTTAGACTCCATCCAATCTAAGGCCCACTCTCCCCCTGGACACATTTGTGAACACAGGTCCCAGCTCCAGCCTCCCTGGGCCTGCCATGGTCCAGGCCCTGTATGCCCCACCTTCCAGAAGCTGCCAGGCTGGGGGGTGGGGGAGGGATGGGGCTTAGTGTTCCAGGGAAAGGAAGAAGGATGCAGGAGACCAGGGCTCTAGGGGCCCAGAGCAGGGATCAGGTTCTCAGACTTGGCTTCCAGAAGGAACTGCACTTGGACCCTAGGGGACTAGGGCAAGGGTATACTGCATAGGGGACACTAGACACCCCAGTGGCTGGGGAGGGACAGTGTTTGGTTTGGGGGGGATAGAGTTTGGGATGAAGGCAGCTGGTGGGCTTGAGGGCAGAGATGTGTGCCCGGGGCTCAGGTGAAGAGCCAGAAAGAAGCAGAGTGGGTCCTGAAAGCAGATGAGTGGACACAGGCAGCTGAGTAAGTCGAGCTGGGGGTGAAGCTGCCATCCATGCTTCAGGGCAGCTTCAGGACCCAGCTGTCCCCGAGCAGAGGCCACCAGTGAAAGCTAGAACTCTCAACCATGCGAAGAGGCAGACCACCGGGCTGCTTCTGTGGGGGTTCCAGAGCGCTCTGTGCTACCTGGGCCAGTGGGGCCAGCAGCCATCATTTAAATTAAGGTCCCTGTAAGCGCAGGAGGCGTCCAGCATTCCAGGGCAGCCTTGGCTCTCCCTGAAGGTGGAGCAGTTGGGGGGCGGGGTTGTCTTCCAGGTGAGGGCAGGAAGGAACTTTAATGAGGGTGAGAAGAGGTTCTCAGGTCTCTCACATCACCGTCCCCCAGGCTCGGGTTCTCTGTGCTCCCATCATCTGCTATGGCCCCCCTTCCCAGCCCTCCCCACAATTAAATATTCAGCAGGGCAGCTGTGCACCCTGAATCCCAGGATGCCCGGGGGAGGGGGATGGAGCAGGAGGAGGACTTCAGGCCCCTCCCCCACACTGTGGACTAGATTGAATGGCCACCAGGGGGCCAGGCTGGCAGCACCACCCAGGGAAGCTGGAGGAGGCTTTGAGGCAGACACACCCTCCCCTTGGTGAAGGGGGCAGGGAAGAACCGGGTGGGATCTGACAGCGCCTCGGTGGCACAGTACTCTGAGCTGGGGGGAGTGGAGAGGAGACAGGGGCCAGGTGTCTCCATTCTACAGATAAGGAAACTGAGGCTTACAGAGGTCAAGGGACTTTATTCGGATCCCGTGGCTATTTGAAGCCATCCCGGGCTATGCCTTCGGCATGCTAGTCCAAGATTCTTTCAGCAAAGGATGCTGCTGGTTCCCAGAAGCCAGGGACCCCTCCTCACCTCGCCTGTGACTTGCCTCATCCCCAACCAGACAGCCCCCAACCCACAAGTACCTCGTGTACCCAGACCTCCAGCTTCCCACCACTCAGCTCCCGAGGGTCTCTGTTTCCTTCCTGCTCATCGGTCAGCCCCAGGCCAGAGGTCACAGCTGGCAGTCCTTGTGGACCACAGCTGGCCCACAGATGTGTTTTATTTGGCTTGCGCATGCATTTAATATTTTTAAATTAGTGGTCAAGATATAACCTTTGGGGTATTTCACCCACACGCAACCTGATTTCCAGTTTCTTAAAAAGTTTGTGTTCCCCTCTCCCAGACAGCCTCTGAAGAGCACCTCCTGCTTAGACCAGCTCTGCTCCCCCTCCTGACTCGGCAGGGTGCCCCACTTCACCACAACTCCGGTGCAATAGTGAGATGGAAGCCTAGAACCTCCCACACACTGTGACCCCAGTCGGCTTCCTCCTCACTATTGCACAAGTCCTGTTTTTCCACGAGAAGGAAAATAGTTCCCTGTGTCTCCTAAAAGGGGAAAACAAAAGATAAGCCAAGAGGACACAGTGGGATTAGAAGGGGAGGGAGTGGATTTCTTGATGGAAGTGGAGACTACTCCTTGGTGTTTAACACGCAGCTGGCCCCAGAGAACAGCGGGCGTGGCTGGAGTGGAGAGGGAGGAGGTGAGGTCGCAGGTAACAGGTCACACCGGGTCTTTGAAGCCAAAGGGTGGTGAGCCATTGCACTGTCTGAGCAAGACTGACAGAACCCAACTTACATTTTTAAAGCTCACCCTGACTTCTGTGTTAGAACCCACCTGCGAATGCAGGAGACCTAAGAGATGCAGGTTCAATCCCTGGGTCAGAAAGATCCCCTGGAGGAGGGCCTGGCAACCCACTCCTTACCTGGAGACTCCCCATGGACAGAGGAGTCTGGTGGGCTAGGGTCCATAGGGTTGCAGAGTCGGACACGACTGAAGTGACTTAGCATGCAAGCGGAGGGGCAGAGAGAGAGCCAGGACACAGTTAGGAGGCTCCGGCAATGATCCAGGCCAGAGATGACACTGTTAAGAGAGGAAGCGAGGAATCAGGGGTGACTCAGGGTCTGGGGACCCGAGCCATGCCCTCCACAGTGGGAAGGCTGGGAGAGGCGGAGCAGGTCAGGGGTCGTCTCGGATATGCTGAGTTTGAGATGTCCCTCAGACATCCCAGTGGAGCTGCCCAGGAAGCAGGTGGCTATGAGCCTGGAGTTCAGGAGAGTGAAGCCCGGGGTTGGAGAGACAAATAAAGGGGTCATCTCATGGCTGGCATCTGAGGATGTGAGACCCAGTGAAAGTACATGGGTAGTGCCTGTAGGCAGACTGTCAAGGCCAAACCACAGACATATGGGGGGGGGGGGGGGGACGGGCAGGACCAGCAGGAGAGTCTCTGAAGAAGCAACTAGTGAGGCTGGAGGTCAACCAAGGGAGCAGAACCGCTTGGAAGCCATCGGGTAGGCTGGAGGAAGGAACACTCACTTGTGTCCAGTGCTGCTGAGAACTGGCCTCTGGATTCAGTGACATGGAGGCCATGGTCCCCCTGGCAACAGCAGGAACCGAAGTCTGGGGGAGTGTGCTCAAGACTGCGTGGGGGAGAGCATAGACTATTCCTTCCGGCTTTTTGCTGAAAAGAGCCTAAAATGTGGAAGAACGAATGTTGGTGTAAAAAGTGAAGTCGGGAGAGGTTTCTTCTTTAAGATGGACGGAAAGCATAGTTACCTAATGATGGGACTGATCCGCCTGGGGGGACGTTGATGCCGTGGGGTAAAGATGGGCACTGGTAGAAGTGGTGGCTTCAGTAGGGAAGAGGGACAGAGATTTCATGCAAAAGAGGACCGAGCTGCTGTGGAGAGAGGCACAGATAAAGTACTGCTTTCTCAGGGGCTCCGAGAGATGAGGTGACTCGCCCAAGGTGGCAGAGCTGGGGTTTGACAGAGGCGTCCGGATCCAGAGCCTAGCTCTTCACTGTCACGTGACTGTTTTGTGGCGACCCGCTGAGCTGATGAAGGAGACATATAGCGAGGCACACTGGGGAGAGCCGCGAGGGTGGCTGGGCTCTGGGGGTCTACCAGGGAGACCCCAGGGCCCAGTGCCAGCGCCAGCCTCCAAGGGGGTCCCAGGCCCTGCAGGATCCCATCCAACCAGTGGGGTGTCCCCACAGGTATATGCTGGGAACGTTCTGTATGAGCACGAGATGCCCTCCGAGCCCTTCTGGGAGGCCCATGACACCCTGGAGCTCCAGCTGTCCTCACCCCCTGCCCCCGACATGGTCGCCACCCTTGCCGTGACCGTGACTTTCGAGGCTGCCTGTCCCCAGCACCCCAGCCGCCTCTGGAGGAACAAAGGTGAACAGCATCATGGGCTGGCAAATTTGGGGGTGGGGGGCACAAGGCCAAAGGTCAGCAGCTCATGTCAGCTCTGAGGACCTGGTATATTACAGGGAGGATGGGCAGGTGGGTCAGCAGGGGGATACGATCCCAGACCTCCTGAGACCCTGAGGCCCAGGCTGGGGTGCCTGGTCTCATCAGGGAGGGACAACTGGGCCTTGAAGACTCTGGTCTGAAGGTCCACGGTTCTCCCTTCGGTGGACGAGAACCTTCACAGCCTGTGTCCCTTCCCCAGGTCTCTGGGTCTCCGAAGGCCAGAGGGCCGAGATCACCACTGCGGCCCTCGATGCCGCCAACCTTCTGGCCAGCGTCCCATCGCCCCGACGCCTGGAGCATGACGTGCTCTTCCAGATCACGCAGTTCCCCACGCGGGGCCAGCTGTTGGTGTCCGAGGAGCCCCTCCATGCCGGGCGGCCCCACTTCCTGCAGTCTGAGCTGGCCGCAGGGCAGCTGGTGTACGCCCACGGCGGCGGGGGCACCCAGCAGGATGGCTTCCGCTTCCGCGCCCACCTCCAGGGGCCGGCGGGGGCCCCCGTGGCGGGACCGCAGACCTCAGAGGCCTTCACCATCACGGTGCGCGATGTGAATGAGAGGCCACCACAGCCTCAGGCCTCCGTCCCGCTCCGGCTTACCCGAGGCTCCCGCAGCCCTGTCTCCCGGGCCCAGCTGAGCATGGTGGACCCAGACTCCGCTCCCGGGGAGATCGAGTATGAGGTGCAGCGGGCCCCCCACAACGGCTTCCTGAGCCTGGCGGGGGCCAGCCCGGGGCCGGTGACCCGCTTCACGCAGGCTGACGTGGATGCAGGACGCCTGGCGTTCGTGGCTAATGGGAGCAGCGTGGTGGGTGTGTTCCAGCTGAGCGTGTCCGATGGGGCCAGCCCCCCGCTGCTCATGTCCCTGGCTGTGGACGTCCTGCCCTCAGCCATTGAGGTGCAGCTGCGGGCGCCCCTGGAGGTGCCCCAAGCTTTAGGGCGCTCCTCCCTCAGCCGGCAGCAGCTCCGCGTGGTTTCCGATCGGGAGGAGCCAGACGCAGCCTACCACCTCACCCAGGGGCCCCGGTACGGGCATCTGCTGGTGGGCGGGCAGCCTGCCACAGCCTTCAGCCAGCTCCAGGTAGACCAGGGAGACGTGGTCTTTGCCTTCACCAACTTCTCCTCCTCTCACGATCAGTTCAGCATCCTGGCGCTGGCCAGGGGTGCCAACGCATCTGCCACGGTGAACGTAACTGTGAGGGCTCTGCTACACGTGTGGACAGGTGGGCCGTGGCCCCAGGGTGCCACCCTGCTCCTGAACCCCACTGTCTTAGATGCGGGAGAGCTGGCCAACCGCACGGGCAGTGTGCCGCGTTTCCGGCTCTTGGCAGGACCCCGGCACGGCCGCGTGGTTCGAGTGCCCCGAGCCAGGACAGAGCCTCGGGGAGGCCAGCTTGTGGAGCAGTTCACCCAGCAGGACCTTGAGGATGGTCGGCTGGGACTGGAGGTAGGCAGGCCAGAGGGTAGCTCTCCCAGCCCCACGGGTGATAGTCTCATTCTGGAGCTGTGGGCAAGGGGTGTCCCTCCCGCTGTGGCCTCGCTGGACTTTGCCACGGAGCCTTTCAACGCAGCCCGGACCTACAGAGTGGCCCTGCTCAATCTGCCTGAGGCTGCTCAGACTGAAGCCAGGGAGCCAGAGAGCAGCTCCCCCACGGGCGGGCCAAGCCCAGCGACCTCCAGCCCCGTGCCCCCCATGGCCAGCGGGGGCTTCCTGGGCTTCCTGGAGGCCAACATGTTCAGCGTCATCATCCCCATTTGCCTGGTCCTCCTGCTCCTGGCCCTCATCGTGCCTCTGCTCTTCTACCTCCGCAAACGCAACAAGACAGGCAAGCACAACGTCCAGGTGCTGACCGCCAAGCCCCGAAACGGCCTGGCCAGTGATGCCGAGACCTTCCGCAAGGTGGAGCCAGGCCAGGCCATCCCACTGACGGCGGTGCCTGGCCAGGGGCCCCCGCCGGGGGGCCAGCCTGACCCCGAGCTGCTGCAGTTCTGCCGGACAGCCAACCCTGCCCTCAAGAACGGCCAGTACTGGGTGTGAGGCCTGGCCTGGGCCCAGATGCCGATTGGGCCAGGGACAGGCTTGCTCGGGCCCCGGCCCCATTGCTCCCATGCCCTGGTGCTGTCTGAGTCTCCCCAGGGCCAGAGAATCCTGGGGACACCAGGGTGTGGAGGGTGCTGGGAAGCAGGCCCAGGGATCCAGGACCACGTGGAGACAAGAGCTGGAACCTCCCCAGCTCACGTCTGGCCAAGAGAACTGCAAGGGGCGGAGAACAGAGGCGGGCTCAGAGTCAGGTCCCTGCCCTGGAGCTAGTGTGGGTGATCAAAACCAGAGCCGCCTCCTAGATGAGCAGGACTCTTGGAGTCCTGGGTCTGTGACCTTGGGTAAGTCACACTTGACCCAGGCTGCTAAGAGGGCAAGGAGCAGAGAGGGATGGCAGGGCTAGATGGGGATTCCTGGATTTTCCACGCCATGCCAGGCCTGCCTTCATCTCTGCCCCAGGATGGGGAGGAAAACTTCCCCTGGTTTTTCAGGGAGATGCTGTTCCCTGGGGCAGAGGGCAGGAGGAGAGGGTCCCCCCTACTCTCTCAAAAGCATAAGCAGTGGAATCATATATCCAGGGTGCCAGGTGGGTGGGTTGCTCTGGGATGGTTTTATTTAAGGGGGATTGCAAGGAAGCTATTTAACATGGTGCTGAGCCAGCCCAGACTGATGGAGCCCCTGGGGTAAGGGATGGAAAGAGGTCTGAGGCCAGCTCAGTCCCAAGGCCCCACCTTGATGGACTGATGGCTAGGCAAGAGTGGGTCTGTGGCCCTGGAGAGGGCTGGGCTGGGGAGTATACAGGTTCTCAGGCCCTGGACTGCCGCAATGCCTGTGCCCCTTGAGGACTGTGGGGTGGGTACTTGGGGGCACTGGGCTCTGTGAGGCCTGGATAAAAGGTGCTTCAGAGGTTCTGGACAGCTGTGTGTTGTTTGTCTGACTGTGTACTGGGGCCCCGTCCACACTAGCCTGCACTCCCCCAGGCCTGTCACCAGGATAGATGGGGCCTGAATTTCCACCTCCTGGAGCCTTTCAGATCTCTGCCTCCACCTGTGCGGGCAGGTGGGCCAATCTTTGTGGGATGGGGCTTTGGTTTGGTAGGGATAAGTAGGCCCTCTTCAAAGAGCTTGAAGAAAAGAAAAACAAAACCAAGAAACATTCAGAGCCCCAGCTGCAGGTGTCTTAGCCTCAGTTTTGGGCTCCACAGCCCTGTTTCTCTGTCCACCTCTCAAGAGGTTGCAACAGCAAAGATGGGGAGAGAGGGGGACTTGGGGATCCCAAGGCTGGGGCATGGGGCCAGGGACAGAGGGGGACTTGGGGATCCCAAGGCTGGGGCATGGGGAGAAGGATAGAAGGGGACCACCACAGTTGCCCCTGCTCAGTTCCCTGGAGATTTTCCCATGGAAGATTTCTGCTGGTCTCTGCCCTTCCAACAGGGTTTCCCCGGTGGCTCAAAGGTAAAGAACCCATCTTTCAATGCAGGAGCCACGGGTTCAATCCCTGGGTGGGAAGATCCCCAGGAGAAGGAAATGGCACCCTGCTCCAGTATATTCTTACCTAGGCAGTCCCATGGACAGAGGAGCCTGGCAGACTACAGTCCATGGGGTCACAAAGAGTCGGACACAACCGACGGACTGAACAACCAACCCTTCCAACGAGAGGACCAAGAGTGCTTTTTTTCAAAGGCAGAGCGAGCAGCAAGTGTTCCAAAAAGTCGTCTGTCCCTGTAGCCAGAGATAGATCTGAGACAAAGCATCCTCAGACGGTCTTTCATGAGTTGCTGAGGAGCCACCACTCTCTGGTCCTTTCCCTTCAGAGGGTCTCCCAGGGTCATGGGCAATGGAGACAGATTCTAGCTCCCAGAGAAGAGCCCAGGCCCTGGGAGCAGGTTGGAGTCCTCAGAAGAACAGCAGGAAAGTGGTCTGAGCTCTGGGGGGACATGGGAGGCCGGGGGAGGGGGAGGGGTGAGGGGAGGGTCGTCTGGGACCTGAGCACAGCTGCAATGGGGGTGGGGGGGCCCAGCCAGCCGCTGGCAGCTCAGCAGCATCACCTCTCTGCTGTTTCCCACATCTGTAGCATCTGAACCAGGAATTAGGGCAAGAGAGGAGATTCCCTCCCTCCCACGCTTCTGTCCCTGGACCACCCCTCCCCACGATGCCCTTCACATCTCAGCATCCAGCCTCCTAGGACTTCCCCTGCTCTCAGAAGTTTTGGGAAGGAAACCTGGAATCCTGGTGGGTCACTGCAGGAAGGGCCCCCAGAGAACCCAGGGGGACTAAGAGGGCAAGAGGCTTGTCTAGAGCCTCGCACAGCAGGCAGCCATGCGTGCGTGTTAAGTCACTTCATTCTTTCTGACTCTTCACGGCCTTACGGACTGTAGCCCACCAGGCACCTCTGTCCATGGGGATTCTCCAGGCAAGAATTCTGGAGTGGGTTGCCATTTCCTACTCCAGGGGATCTTTCCAACCCAGAGTTCAAACCTGTGTCTCATGTCTCCTGCATTGGGTAGACCAGAACCCTGAGCACAGCCAGCTCCTGTTGTCACATTGAAAGCCTCCCCTTCATGGAAGGTGGCCAGGACCCATAAGTGGCGGCTCTGCAGAGATCCCTGTACCCGGAGCTCAAAGTCCTGGCTCTGGCTTCCTTTTCAAGCCTGGCCTCTCCAATCCACCCCATGCCAGCCTCACCCAGGGGCCCTGCCAAGGGCGTCTCCATGCCACGCCCCACTCTCTGGTCAGCTTCTCTCTGGAGTTCAAGGCTGCATCCTCAGGGCCCTGATACCTAGGGCCAGCCTCCACCCAGAGCAGCCAGTTTCCCTGGGAGTGTAAGCTGAGATGAAGATGACGGACCCACCAGGCAGGATCTGGCTCGGCTCAGGTTCCCCCAAGAGGCCTGACGACACCCCCTCTGTTCACGTGGCCCAGCCTGCCCTGCCCCCAGTGAGCTGGCACAGGCCAATACTGCTCTTGCTCCTTCAAGCCTGGGCTGGACAGTGGGCTGGCACCCAGGCGTTGTGCCAGCATCTCTGCCAGGACCTGGGAGAGGGTCTTGACTGGCACACCATCCTCAGAGCCCATTCTAAACGCAGGTCCTCGGTTTATTAGGTAAATCCCTTGCAGATTTCAGATAAGCACCCCCAACTTAAGGAGGTTGCTACCCACTTTACAGAATAACTCACCATTCCTTCATTTAAAGAGCTGGTTCCTCCCAGGCACTGAGGATAGGCGCCAGCCTGTGTACAAGCACTCAGGAATGTCCGGGAGCCTCTGACCTTGTTAGACACACATACACACACACACACACACACACACACACACACACACAGTGTGGGCTTGTGCTCATAGCTATGCACTTTCAGACCTTCAGAAACAACACAGAGATACATACTTGCCTGTGTACCCCCTACACACACACACACACACACACACACACATGCACTTATAGGTACACAAACTCCAGAGTTGAGTGCCCCTTGCCTATGGTCCTCCCACAGTCCCAGGAGCTGGCCATGTGGTACCTGGGATATGCGGCCCATCACCAGATTCCGAACTCACTTCCGCACAGTGGGTAAGTGACCCCACTGTGGGAAAGATGGTGGAAAGGGGTATGGGGAGCAGGGTAGGGCTTGCCAGAGGGGCCCAGGTCCCCAGCTTGGAAGAAGCCTTGCCCACCACCCTCAGTGGTTTAGTCTCTTAGATGCTAAAAAAAGGTGGGGGGGCTTCCTTTGAGCCCCTCTCCTCATTCTGTGAGCTGGCCCTTTAAGTGGAGTTGCCTGGGCAGCTGTAGACCCGCAGAGCTGGAACCATTGTCCTCCAATAGGAAGGAAGAGAAATGGTCCTCCTTCCCCACAACCCTTCTCTCCTGACCAATGGGAACTGCCAAGGGTGTTAGCATCTTCCTCTGGGCCCTGAAGATTCCAGATCTTAAAGGGCTGGAGGTACCTAAGCAGCAACACCCCCCCACACACACACACCACCAATTTCTCAGGTTGGGTCTGCTGTTCCTGGCTGGCACATGTGAGGGAGCCCTGACAAGTGAGTGGAGCCAAGATGGAGCAAACAGACGTGCTGGACTCCTCTCTACAGCCCCATCCTAGGTCCTCTCATAGTTAATGTCATAGTTAACCACCCCTGGGATTATTCAGGCATTGGCAAGGGTATTTGGTGCCAAAAGTCCTGTGGGAGAAGCAAACAGAAATATACCCAGCCCTTCCTGAAGAGCCCCAGACATGCCAGTGAGTAACTACCACACCATGTGTGCCCTAACCCAGCGGCGTGAGCTGGCTGGTGGGAGGGCCTCCGGCTCTGGCTGCTTCCTTTCTCCTTACAGAGCGCTGGGTCTTTCCACACCAGGAGCGGCCAGGCAGTGCTAATGCTGAGCATGCCCAACCCACCTCCTGTGGGTGGTACTGTGTTCCTTCACCTTTCAGATGTCCTGGGAGCCCCTAAAGACAGAAGCAGCCCTTGCTTAAATCAACCAGTGGCCCAGAAGTGACTTTTCTACCTTAACATGGCTCCCTAGGCCCCCAACCTAGGAACTGCCTGCTCAGCTAGCCCTTAGCCTGGAGCTACACCCAAAGCTTCCTTCTGAAGCTTTGTGAGGTCACAAAGGGCTCAGGTGTCAGTCCTGAAGTCCAAATTAGCTAGGCTGTCTAAGTCCTTGAAGCAGGGGTGAGGCTGGCAGGCAGGTCTGATCCAGCGAAGAGAGTCGGCAAGGAGTTGCCCACTCCCACCCTTACCTCCCAGCGACAGACAGGTCCCTGGCCAGTGCAGCAGTTCTATGCGCCCCCGCCGTCTGCGATCCAGCCCGTCCTTCTCTCCCTGGCCCCTCCCCACCTGCAGCGGGAGGGACGAAGAAGGGAGGTGTCCAGCCAAGGTTACCAGTCAGTGCCTTGGGTCTCCTCCAGGGCAGAGCACAGCAGTCAGAAGAGGGAAGAAGCCGCTGGCCCGGCTACCTCCCAGCATGATCAGGAAGTGAGGCTGGGCCTCCCCAAAGCTCTCCATAGAAGGTGGAGAGGGTAGGGAGAAGGAAGGGCTGGACGGAGGCTTCCAAGCTAACTCTTCTGCCCCCCCCTAAATAAACGCTGACTCTGACCTCCAGCCTGTGTGCTGCCCTGCTAGTGGGACTGTCTCTGGAGCACCCAAGTCCCCTCCCCTCCCAGATCTCGGAGGCCCCCAGCTTGGGAGAAGGTCCCAGCCTTGCAGCCCTTCCCTGCAGGAGGTCTACACCTTGTAGGAAACATAGTTCAACGCTGTGTGCTCCCTCGGGGCAGGGTCATGCTAGCCCAATGCTAGGCATGCAAAGATGGTCAGGAAACATATATTGCAAGATTACAGCCCCTCCCCACAGACCCAAGAGGTCTCTCACCACCAGGCCCACCCAGACCTCTTTTCCCAGCTTCCCTTA